AGGAACTACTGGGTGGTTTGGTTGATATATGTTTTGTTTGTTTTTGTATCCTTTTGAAGGTTTGGGTGTTATTTAATGGGCTTATGGGTGTTTGTAGTATTAGGTGTGCGCTCGTGTCCTGTGAACTCTGGAGTACCAATCTGTGTTGTTAGAAAATGCAGTGTAGTAGGACGTGTTCGGGCTTTTCTGTTTCGTTGCAGCGTGTGCATTTGTCTGTTTTGTGGTGTGTTTTTTTAATTTTATGTAGATAGGAATTTATTCAGATCCGCGGGAACAGTCGGTCCGATATATGTCTATTATGCATGTCAACGTTAAGACACAGACCAACTGTAGCGCAAATGGGGTTGCGCAACAAAGAGAAAATGGCCAGTCTTCCTATATGCGAGCGACGTATAGAAAGACTGGTCATTTTTCACTCTATGGCGCAACCCTATTTGCGCTACGGGTTGCCTGCGGTTAGGTCACTGCTGATTTCGTATAATCGATAAGGTGAACATCGATCGGATTATCATTGATTTAAATAACTAATATTTCGTCAGTGTATGACGGTGGCTTTGTAGTCGTTGAAGTTCTTCCGTATTCACCATATATGACAGTTAGATGTATATCTCTAAACAAACTGTAAGAAGTGAGTGAGTTTAGTTTTACGCGAGTTTTAGTAATATTCCAGCAATATCACGGCGGGGACATCAGAAATGGGCTTCACACACTGTACCCATGTGGGAATCGACCCCGGTCTCCGGCGTGATGAACGAACGCTTTAACCACTAGGCCACACCACTACCCCAAAACTGTAAGAAGGAACTACCTGGTACATATAATGATGATGACGTCATTTCTGTTGTAGAAGACATTGTTTCGTCACAAGGAGGTAGCTTACGTCATACGCGATTATTTACAGACCGCCGCCATATAGCTGGAATCATGCTGAGTGCGGCGTTAAACAACAAACCAACCAACCACATCTCTCCTGACAAAGCATTGCGTGACTATGACGAGATGACTATAACAGGTGTCGATGCCAGTCAGGGACGTTTCATCCACCGAATCGTTGCACACGGTAGATAGCACAATGGATTATACTTCATACCCCAAGAGGCAGATTGACTGGTATGTTGCTCCGCTGCAACAAAACAAAAGTCTTATTGGATCACATTCAGGTGCACGGCAATGACCGTATTTCCAATATCAACAGCTTCACCCAAATGGACCATTAAGCCCTATTTGGTAAACAAAATCAGACCATATTCTTTGCGCAGTTACTATTTTCCGTCAGTATACAACCACACCATAAACATTCAGAGTGAATGTATCAGTATCCACCATGTTTATGGCATGGAACACACACCTTCATATTCAGATATATATCAGTTGATTTAGTCTTAAAGTCTTTATCAGTATTGGAGGCCTGTGTTGAAATACAAATTTCTGTCTTTGTGGAATGCTTACTGCTTACAAGTTATTTCTGATAAGTACAATGATAACACATGTAGAAATAGTTATATTGTACAAGAAATGGGAATTATTTTGCATAAAAATTTCTTTTCAAATACAACGCGAGTCCTTTCAAAATATCAACATTTGTTGAAGACATAAGTTGTTGTAGTTTTTCCCGGGAAGGATAGTGATGAAAATATTTTGGAATGAATTTATTTCTGCTAATATTATAGTAAGTACAGCCCAAAATGAAATGAAATTCATCATCGACAGCCTTATTGTCACACTTATCACACATTAGGGCAAATCGGTCAACGCGTTCTTTACTTTACTTAAAACGTTGTTCTGAATATTCAAGTTATGAGAAAGTATACGAAACTTGTGATCTGTGGGCGGGCATTAATTTCCTGAAGCGTGAAGGTGCGTCTCTGTCCTTGAATGGCAGGCTGCACGTGAGGCCCAATGATCTCATTACTCAGCTGAAACACTACAAAAGTCTATTGGATCACATTCAGGTGCACGACATTGACCGCGTTTCCAAGCACAGCTTCATCCAAACGGACCACTAAGCCCGATTTGGTAAATAAAATCAGACCATATGCTATGTTATGCACAGTTACTTTTTCCCGTTAGTATACAACCATACCATAATACATTCAGAGTGAATATATCAGTATCCACCATGTTTATCGGATGTTACACGCACCTTTATCAGTTGATTTATCATCAGATATGTAAATCAAAATAAATTGTCGAAGGCATAGGTGGTAATATACGTCTGTTTGCAGACGATGCGTCCATATACATGTATATCATAGTTGACGATCACATCTCCGCAGCAAATTGTATCAATAACGATTTAGCAAAAATTTCAGATTGGACCCGCAAATGGCAATTCGGATTCAACCCCGATGATACCAAAACTGTAACATTTAGCGGCAAAGTCGGATCTAGTGTTAAACCAAACTTATACAACAAAGGAGACTTCTATGGATATACACCTTCTTTAATATGATATGAGCGACGTTTCGGTGTAGCTACTAACACTGTTATCAAACCAAAAAATATTTAAAAAATTATTTATTTTTTTAAATTTTTATATATTTTTTTTTTTTTTATTTTTTTTTTTTTAATTATTATTTTTTGCTTGATAACGGTGATAGTAGCTACACCGAAACGTCGCTCATATCATATTAAAGAAGGTGTATATCCATAGAACTCTCCTTGTTGTTCATCATACCACCTTCTAAATGCCACTTTAAACAAGCAAACTTATACATGCAATTCGAAGGTATTTTTATCTATGAAGTACAAAGTCATAAACATTTAAGAATCACACTTCACAGTGATTGTTCATGGAAAATACAAATCAACGAAATTATTAGGAAAGTAAGTTCAATGATCAACTGCTTAAGGAGCTTTAAGTACATACTGACCAGAAATACGCTTGCTACTATGCATATGTTTTCCATCTTACCTAACATCGACGGGGATTTGTCAGGGATTTCGTGGTACTAGCCATGCCAAAATATACTGGACAAAATAATTTAGGGATATTTATATTTATATTTACGAATAAGCTGGACTTGCATTAAGGTTCTAGGTTATGCCAAAGCGATTTGACTGACTGACTGACTGAGTTTGGTTTTACGCCGCTTTTAGCAATATTCCAGCTACATCACGGCGGGGGACACCAGAAATGGGCTTCACACATTGTACCCATGTGGGGATTCGAACACGGGTCTTCGGCGTGACGAGCCAACGCTTTAACCACTAGACTACCCCACCGCCCCAAAGCGATTTGAACGCTGATGAGTTTAGGCACCATGTATCAGACACCCAAGACTGCACATGTGGTCATCGCTTTGAGGATACAAGTATTTTTCTTTACCTGCCACAAATACGATAATATCAGGAAGACTATGTACTTTTACACACATGGATATGACCTGACATCAATACTTTATGGCCATAGTTCAGTCAGCAGTTCCACAAACATGGACATTATTCAATCAGTTCAAGATTTTATCTTAATCATTTGTTGATGATGGTTCGTACAGAGAAGGGGAAGGGTTCCGCCCGTAACCCCCGCTTGAAATGTATTCTATTTATTATGATTATTTCTAGGGGTTAGTGTTTAGGTTAAGGAATCAGATTTAGCATTATGTTAGGTTTATGGTTAGACACACGCACGCACGCACGCACGCACGCACGCACACACACACGACTCATACTTGTTTGACAACGATACAAGAATCTGTATCGAAACGTCGCATCACCCGAATAAAGAAGTTGTTCATCCATAAAGTTTGTCCTTATTACAAATACTCAATTAACGGAATGCGCTCCCGGTAATCACCAGGACAATGACCAGAGCTTCAGGCTCGGACATGAAATCCAGCGCCACCTCAGGGCGTTTCCTACGAGCGGAACATTCTGCTCGAGGTTGTCCTTACACAAGCAGTCGGATTATTGGACTGACGAGAATATGTGAAATCAGGTTATGTCAGAAACAACAATGGGCAGACGAAAAGATAACAATGGACATACAAAAGGTCCGTGGTGTGATCACAGACAAGGGATAATCAAATACATGTACAAATGTGATAATTGTGTCTGACGGCGTATGAAACAGGCGATATGTCTAGAACGATATGTGACCTCGCTTTGCACAAAAGTGAACTGGCCTTGAAGGTATAATTCATAGTTAATCAAGGCAGATCGGAATTAATTCATTCGGCGGCAGCATACGTGTAATACTAAATAACCTGTAATGTTATCTCCCCAGAGAGTTGTAGCAGTCATGTGCCTACAAGAGAAGTATTTACATTGACATTGGTGTGTCTCGTTGGCCTTTAACCCCAGGTGCTGCTTAGCCAATTGTTTGTATTATGTGACAAATTCTCATTCATTGTTTTCTGTAAAGCCTTGGAGAATGGACCTCGGGGCTTCTACTGGCGTTTTAATTCCTCTCCCAATACTGACGTGTTAAATCCTTACACCACAGGTGCTAAGTCATACCCTGCATGCAGTCGTTTCTTCTGTTGTTATAATCAAAATAATGGACATTTGTTATGCGCTTTAATCCACACACTAGTGCATGCTCAAAGCGCAGGGGGAAGAGGGAGAGAAATACAACTATTACCCTTTGTTGTTGTTTCTAATCCCCTTTCGTATACACCCTTCCATGTCGCATAATGATGGAATAAAGCAGTTTACATCCATAAAATATCATGCCTATGCTGTTACTTACCAACTTATAAACACCTGAATGAATGTTTAAAAAATCACGAGAAAGGGTTAAAGAATATTTAGAACATACAAACAAACATTCAGCTTATATCCTTTACACAGCCACCAAAGTGTGATGGCGAAATACTCTAAACGTTGCTAAATGCAAATATATGTTTAGAATTTGTGATGAATAAAGTTGTCCGTTTTCTTATCTCTTCACGAAGTGTTGGCTTCCTGGGACATCTGTTGCAGACTAATTAACATATGTAGCCCCGCCCCTTTGACGCAGCATGTGTTCTCAGCCAATGGGAGAAGAAACTGAAGTGGTGCTGCGCTTATTTAACCGGATCAAACAAAACTGTTCGCAACTGATTCCAGGAGGATTTATACAAGTAACACAATGCCTGTCTCTACCGCTGGCGCTAAAACGAAGATCGGGGTGGTCGGGATGCCCTTCTCAAAAGGACAGGTATGTGTTGTGATTCGCAAACATTTATTTCACTAGAAATAAGAACTGGATAAGTAAACAAATGTTATGAATACACAATTAATAAATCTAGCCGCGGTGGCCGAGCGGGTTAGGCGTCTGACTTTGTGTGCTGGCAATTAGGTGCCTGACTCTGAGGGTGTATGTTCGAATCCCGTTTGGGACTCCACCCAACAATAGTACTAGAATCTGTACTTTACTAAGAAAGTGTAATTCCAAATATAACATAATACAGTGGAAACCGCCTAAGTAAAGACCGCTTAACTAAACAGACCTGATAAGTAAACACTTTTCTTTGGTCCCGGCAACTTTCTTCATTAATTATCACTATTAGAGTCTGGTTAACTAAACTCGGATAAGTAAACAATACCGCTTAACTAAACGTCTTCTCACGGTCCCTGGAAGTAAATTACTTTACAAAGAGACTGGATAACTAAATTAGCGATCACCACATAATCCGACATGAGGGGCAGTCGTGTCAGTCTCCAGTCAAACAAACATCCTGTTTACAGCTCGCTGGCGTCAAGCAGTTGACAATACACTGACAACTGGAGGCCAGCCCTGATAAGTTGTTCATTGTTACATATGCATACATATACATGCATATGGTTGTCATTTGCAGGTTTATATAAGTTTGGATAATTAAAATACCTGATAAGTAAACAATTTTTGGCGAGTCCCTTGACATTTTACCTATCAGGTTTCCACTGTAATAATATAAACACTTTTTGGGAATTATTCACTTTATCGGTGAACTACGCATTCTCTTACGTTTTTGGGGTGTGTCCCATCCGGGATTCGAACCCACACTCTCAGAGTCAGGCACCTGCTCACCAGCATACAGAGTCAGCAATCTTACCCATTCAGCCAGCGCGGCTTCCACAAACACGGATGAGAGACAACTGGTAGTCTCGATCATATACTCTGTGTACCCCTCGGCCCCCACGTCCGAAAGCTGTAGGCACATAAAAGTATTTTATGAAATGGTCAAATTTAACATGTCATATTTGGGATTACATTTTCTAATACCTTTTCAAGTTAAGTCCCGTCCAGGATTCTTAGAGAAAGAGTGATCACAAATATAACATATGTTACATTTGACCACTTGATAAATGGCATTGTGTATTCATGGAATTGGTAACTTGATACCGCCCGTATTATATAACTTCTTTCATTTAGTGTCCTAAAACTTGTTTCGTTGTCTATCGTGTTGTGATAAGTAACGAGTTCTAGATTAAGATTTTCCAGTATTTGTGACTGTGTTACTGCTATTGAAACAATAAACTTGCCCGTAAATCTCTAGGCGTACAGACCGCCTCCGTGGTGTAGCGGTTAGAGCGTCCGCCCGGAAAGCGGAAGGTCGCGGGTTCGATCCCCGACCGCGTCATACCAAAACACGTTAAAATATGGTACTTGTTGGTCCCTGCCTGGCGCTCGGCATTAATGGGTACAACGAGGACTGGTCGGCTCGGAGTCAGTATAATGTGTCTGAGTGGGGTATTCATGCTTCACTGCGGCATGGTTTCTCAGTGGGCTAGCACTATAAAACCAGCTTAAGTCTGGGCTAGTACAAGCAGCCACACATACACACGCATGCACGTCGTCATATGAGCGAAATATTCTCAAGCACGACGTTAAACCCAATTTCACCTCACCTCACCTCTAGGCGTACAAATTCAGCCTGGAACCAATCAATAACAAATATGTTTAAAACAATCGTATTATGAACGTACCTACGTATACAAATCAAGACAGATTACTGCAAACTTGTGTGGCAGCACACATTAAAGGACAAATTCTCGAAGCATTTAGACAACAGACCCGAATTTAGATTAAACCCTTCAACAGTGAGTGAGTTTAGTTTTACGCCGCACTCAAGCAATATTCCAGCTATATGGCCGCGGTTTGTAAATAATCGAGTCTGGACCAGACAATCCAGTGATCAACAGCATGTTCATCGATCTGCACAATTGGGAACCGATGACATGTGTCAACCAAGTCAGCGAGCCTGACCACCCGATCCCGTTAGTCGCATCTAACGACAAGCATGGGTTACTGAAGATCAATATTCTAACCCGGATCTTCACGGGTCCTTCAACATAGAGAATTACCATTGACACGGTGTTGAAAGAAAGTTATCCATGACATCTAATTAAACAAATCTTTGGCAATGTTTGTGTCACAGATAGTAGGGTGGCTCAGTAGGCGATGGTATTACCTGTGAGCCCGGAGTTGCGCCCCTTTGGTGTGCCAGAATTCAAATGGTCGTTTGTTCGAATCCCTGATTATGTTTCAAGTAGGTTTGCCAGCCCTAACCCGTGCTGATGGGTTTCGGTATGGACGTTAAATAACATCGTGTTTTTCTCGATGCTCATGATGTCAATCACTGGATTGCCTGGTCCAGGCTCGATTATCTACAGACCGCCGTCATATAGCTGGTATATTGCTGAGGAAGGCGTTAAACAACTAACACGCAAACAACATTGTGGCCTTAGTCCATGGACAGAATGAGAATGTGAGAAGTAATGTAACCATATATGCAGACTGCCTGTAAGTGAATGTTTTGCGCAGCCCAAGGCGGGGACACAGCTGGCGCCGAAACTCATCCGTCAAGCAGGGATGCTGGAAAAGATGACTGAAGCAGGTGAAGCTTGTTTTTATATCATCTGTCCATGTAAAATTAGCCCTGTTTTTAACACATTCGCTGTCTTTAAGGAAGAGTCTAATTTCTCCTGTCAACTAATCTAACAATGTTATGATGCTTTCCACTGTTTGCAATGTCCATACCTTGCCTGTGATTACAATACTATGTATACGGGCCAGATGCCTTATGTACAATAAACCATCTTGATCTATATCATCCGTTGGGATAATTGCTACTAATCACCAACCCTACGTCTATCTGGCGCCAACTCGTCACGACATCCACCTCCCATCTACAATACATCTAAATAGCACCAACTCATCACCAACACGCCATCTATCAAGCACGAACTGGTCACTAACATGTCATCTATCTGTCACCTACTTGTCACTGACACGATATCTATCTGTCACATACTCGTCACTAACAAGACAACTATCTAGCAACAACTCTTCACTAACACGATATCTATCTTGCACAAACTCGTCACTAACAAGACATCTATCTAGCACTCACACGATATCTATCTTGCACCAACTCGTCACTAACAAGACATCTATCAAGCACTAACACGATATCTATCTTGCACAAACTCGTCACTAACAAGACATCTATCTAGCACTAACACGATATCTATCTTGCACAAACTCGTCACTAACAAGACATTTATCTAGCACTAACACAATATCTATCTTGCACAAACTCCTTACTAACCGGACATCTATCTAGCACCAACTTATCACTATAATGACATCTATCTAGGTCCAACATTTCACTAACACCACATCTATCTAGCACCACTTCACTACCAAACAATGCATTTTTCAAGCACCAAGTCATCACCAACAAAGATATCCGTATTGCTTCCCCTCCCCGCCATATATATCTAGCATCATGTCACCACCAAAACAGTTTGTCCACCACTAACAAACCATAAGAGGTCAATTTAGCATCAGCTCATCTCCAACAAGACATCAGCCTTTCTAGCATTGTTCAGTTCCTGGTTCGCCCTGTACATCACCACCATACCCCTGGTCACCACCATACCCATGGACACCACTATAACCCTGGTCACCTTCATACCCATGGACACCACCATACCCCTGGTCACCACCATACCCCTGGTCACCACCATACCCCTGGTCACCACTATACCCCTGGTCACCACCATACCCCTGGTCACCACCATACCCCTGGTCACCACTATAACCCTGGTCACCACCATACCCCTGGACACCACTATAAACCTGGTCACCTTCATACCCATGGACACTACTACATACCTGGTCACCACCATACCCCTGGTCACCACCATACCCCTGGTCACCACCATACCCCTGGTCACCACTATACCCCTGGTATCACTATAACCCTGGTCACCACCATACCCCTGGTCACCACCATACCCTGGTCACCACTACCATAACCCTGGTCACCACCATGCCCTGGTCACCACCATACCCATGGACACCACCATACCCCTGGTCACCACCATACCCATGGACACCACTATACCCCTGGTCACCACTACATACCTGGTCACCACCATACCCCTGGTCACCACCATACCCCTGGTCACCACTATACCCCTGGTATCACTATAACCCTGGTCACCACCATACCCCTGGTCACCACTATAACCCTGGTCACCACCATACCCCTGGTCACCACCATACCCCTGGTCACCACCATACCCCTGGTCACCACCATACCCCTGGTCACCACCATACCCATGGACACCACCATACCCCTGGTCACCACCATACCCATGGACACCACTACATACCTGGTCACCACCATACCCCTGGTCACCACTACATACCTGGTCACCACCATACCCCTGGTCACCACCATACCCCTGGTCACCACTATACCCCTGGTATCACTATAACCCTGGTCACCACCATACCCCTGGTCACCACTATAACCCTGGTCACCACCATACCCCTGGTCACCACCATACCCATGGACACCACCATACCCCTGGTCACCACCATACCCATGGACACCACTATACCCCTGGTCACCATCATACCCCTGGTCACCACTATAACCCTGGTCACCTTCATACCCATGGACACAACTATACCCCTGGTCACCACTACATACCTGGTCACCACCATACCCCTGGTCACCACCATACCCCTGGTCACCACCATAGCCCTGGTCACCACTATACCCCTGGTATCACTATAACCCTGGTCACCACACCATGCCCCTGGTCACCACTATAACCCTGGCCACCACCATACCCCCTGGTCACCACCATACCCCTGGTCACCACCATACCCCTGGTCACCACCATACCCCTGGTCACCACCATACCCATGGACACCACCATACCCCTGGTCACCACCATACCCATGGACACCACTACATACCTGGTCACCACCATACCCCTGGTCACCACTACATACCTGGTCACCACCATACCCCTGGTCACCACTATACCCCTGGTCACCACTATACCCCTGTATCACTATAACCCTGGTCACCACCATACCCCCTGGTCACCACTATAACCCTGGTCACCACTATACCCCCTGGTCATACCCTGGACACCACTATACCCCCTGGACACCACTATACCCCTGGACACCACTATACCCTGGACACCACTATACCCCTGGACACCACTACACCCTGGACACCACTATACCACCACTATACCCCTGGTCACCACTATACCCCTGGACACCATGGACCACTGGACACCTATACCCCTGGTCACCACTACACCCTGGACACCACACCCTGGACACACTATACCCCTGACACCACTATACCCCTGGTCACCACTACACCCTGGACACCACTATACCCCTGGTCACTATACCCCTGGACACCACTATACCCCTGGTCACCTTCATACCCCTGGACACCACTATACCCCTGGTCACCACCCTGGACACCACATACCCCCTGGTCACCACCATACCCCTGGTCACCACTATACCCCTGGACACCACCATACCCCTGGTCACCACTACACTCCTGGTCACCACTACATACCTGGTCACCGCCATACCCCTGGTCACCACCATACCCCTGGTCACCACTACACTCCTGATCACCACCACACCCCTGGTCACCACTATAACCCTGGTCACCTTCATACCCATGGACACCACTATACCCCTGGTCACCACTACATACCTGGTCACCACCATACCCCTGGTCACCACCATACCCCTGGTCACCACCATACCCCTGGACACCACCATACCCCTGGTCACCACTACACTCCTGGTCACCACTACATACCTGGTCACCACCATACCCCTGGTCACCACCATACCCCTGGTCACTACTACGCTCCTGGTCACCACCACACCCCTGATCACCACCATACCCCTGGTCACCACCATACCCCTGGACACCACCATACCCCATGTCACCACTATACCTCTGGTCACCACCATACCCCTGGTCACCACCATACCCCTGGTCACCACCATACCCCTGGTCACCACCATACCCCTGGTCACCACCATACCCCTGGTCACCACTACATCCCTGGACACCACTACACCCCTCAACAACACCATACCCCTGGACACCACTATACCCCTGGTCACCACTACTCTCCTGGTCACCGCTATATCCCTGGTCACCACTACACTCCTCGTCACCACTACACCCCTGGTCACCAGTGTACCCCTGGACACCACTACACCCCATGTCACCACTATACCCCTGGACACCACTACACCCCATGTCACCAGTATACCCCTGGTCACCACTGTACACAACTATACCCCTGGACACCACTACACCACTATAGCCCTGGTCACCACTATACCACAGTACACCACTACACCACTGTACCCCTGGACACCACTTTACCCTGGACACCACTATACCCCTGGACACCACTATACCCCTGACACCACTATACCCCTGGACACCACTATACCCCTGGACACCACTATACCCCTGGACACCACTATACCCCTGGTCACCACTACACCCCTGCTCGTGGTTTTCACCAAGTGATAAATGTCTTCGGTTTTTCCCCCTACAGTACGCTGACACGCCTTTTCATTCAGGTCATTCTGTACAATGTCATTTGCTTTTATGATACAGTGGGGCGGCGGCGTAGCCTACTGGTTAAAGCGTTCGCTCGTCACCCGAAGACCCGGGTTCGATTCCCTACATGTGTACAATGTGTGAAGCCCATTTATGGTCTCACCAGGCGTGATATTGCTGGAATATTGCTAAAGGCGGTGTAAAACATTACTCACTCACTTTATGATACAGTTAAAGGTCAACTGTCAATTATTTACTTTTTTTTCTTCTGTCACGACGATGTTGCAGGGAACGACGTGGTTGATCACGGAGATCTAGCTGTGGAGGACATCGCCTCTGACGAACCTATCAAAAACGTTTCAAGACCCAGAAATGTGGGAACAGCAAACAAACTGGTATGTATTTCAAAATTATATATATTGTTATAATGCCATTTATAATTAAAAGAAGAATAAAATAACATGGTTATTGATAAACAACTACAGGCTGTTTCTATACACAAAGTTAGTGTATTGGTTTGTTGGGTAACGCGTCAAAGATCTGCAACCATGTGGAGCATATTTACCTATTTCTAAAGCTGTTACAATATCGAGTAAATCGACACAGACATGCCCCTGATGTTAGCAGTCGTAAAACACTGACACTATCTATAGCCCGTTTTTAACTGTATTGTCCTAATTTGAAATCCAGTTTTAGAGATAGATACTAGTTTAATTTTTTGTGTCTGTGATATTCTAGTTGGTTTTAATGTCCTTCGTTGACAGGCTTTTAGTGATTTACGTGTATTTATGATGAAGTTAAAAACTAGTTTTAGTCACGATATGGCTGAAATAATGCCAATGTGACTTTAAATTTTAACTCACTCACTCACTCATGGTGTATATTTATGTTTGTTCTTAAAGTCTACGTCTCTCATAACCCTAAACGTGTGGCTCACTTTTATTCTGTATTATAGCTGTCGTAAGAGGCGACTAACGGGATCGGGTGGTCAGGTTTCGCTGACATGGTTGACACATGTCATCGGTTCCCAATTGCGCAGATCGATGCTCATGCTGTTGATCACTGGATTGTCTGGTCCAGACTCGATTATTTACAGACCGCCGCCATATAGCTGGAATATTGCTGAGTGCGGCGTAAAACTAAACTCATTCACTGTATTATAGCTTATAATATTTGTATTTTACATGTGAGGTGAGACTCAAATAAATAGTCTGTCTGCCTGTCTGTCACTATCAACCTGTGAACATTGGTGGGTGTCATATCTTTGTTATTGCTATGCTGTGTCACAGTTTCCTGAACTGTAGTAGTAGGCTTATTGTACTGTATTAACAAAGGTTTCAGTGAGTGCTCAGCTGTCTTTTTAACAAGGCACGGTGAAAGAACAAAGCAAGGTTACGTAATAGGCTGTTTGACATTGGCATGAGAATACACGAGCTTTACTTGGATCGACAGTAAATTTGGCATGAGTGAGTGAGTATGGTTTTACGCCGTTCTTAGCAATATTCCAGCAATATCACAGCGGGGCAATCCAGAAATGGGCTTCACACATTGTACCCATGTGGGGAATCGAACCCGGATCTTCGGCGTGACGAGCGAACGCCTTTAACCACTAGGCTACCCCACCGCCCGAAATTTGGAATGAAGCGCTGTCTCAACTCTGAGAATAAATCACACGATATTCATCGTCAACAACGATACGACTATGTGGACAGTATTTTATACATATTTTCAACTGCATGGATATTTCCTTTATAAAACACAATACTTCTCACTTTCATTTCTGTTATATTAATTGTATTACCAGCGGGGAGGGGCGGTGGGGTAGCCATGTGGTTAAAGCGTTCGCTCGTCACGCCTAAGGCCCGAGTTTGATTCCCCACATGGGTACAATGAGAAAAGAACATTTCTGGTGTCTCCTGCCGTGATATTGCTGGAATAGCGCTAAAAGCGTGATATTGCTGTAAAAGCGGCCTAAAACCATACTCACTCACCTTCGTCATCCTTATCGAAAATACGCCTGTCAGGAAGCGCACGTAAAATCTTCAAATTCATCCTCATCTTCATCCTCATCTTACAGCTGTGTGAGGCCGTTGAGAAGGTTCTTCGACAACAGCAGGGATGTCTGGTGCTTGGTGGGGATCACAGCATCGCTATGGGTTCCATCCAGGGCCACCTTCAGGCAGAACCCGATCTCGTGGTGTTGTGGGTGGACGCTCATGCCGATATCAACACCCCCCTCACGTCACCTAGCGGCAACGTGCACGGCATGCCCCTCTCTTTCATGGTCAAGGAGCTCGAGCAATACATGCCCACTGTCCCTGGGTTCGAGTGGGTCAAACCGAGGTGAGTTAAACATTTGTATCTTGACCATGGCGGTCTGTCACAGGACAAGGCTGTGTTGTCCGACTAAAGATCCGTGTTAGAATCGGTCTTCAGCAGCAACCCACACTTGTAAGAGGCGACTGACGGGATCGGTAAGTCAGGCTCGCTGACTTGGTTGTCACATGTCAACGTAGCCTTGTTGCGTAGGTCGATGCTCATGCCGTTGATCACTGGATTGTCTGGGTCCAGTTTCGATTTACAGACTACCACCATATAGCTATAATATTGCTGAGTGCAGCGTTAAACAAACAAACAAACAAACAAACAAACAACCCAAGATATCTACATGTAAAGATCGGCGGTAGCAGTTGAATTAAATTAAGATTCGGCAGGTTAACCTCACGCTCTGCAGTATTCAATATATATGACGACTGGACCAGACAATCCAGCGATAGACAGCATGAGCATCGATCTACGCAATTGAGATACGATGGCATGTGTCAAGCAAGTCAGCGAGCCGGGCCACCCGATCCCCTTAGTCTCCTTACGATAAGCAAGAGCTTGTTAAAGACCAATTTTAACCCGGATCACCACCAGTGGAACAGTTTATTATATTTTCACTTGTGAAAAAACTCTGGTTATTTCCAATTACGATTAATTTAGTTACCATGTAATGCTTTGATGGATATTTACGTACTGTGTAAATAAAATTATAATGTGTGTAATGTAATCTTGTACTTACCTTTCAGCTTGGCAGCTAAAGATATAGCGTACATCGGTCTGAGGGACGTAGACGGGGGAGAAAAGTGAGTCTCCGGGTTCTCAACAACTTAACCTACTTTTAGTAATATGCTAGCGCCTTATGAAAAAGATACAATCTTGCCAAGAGTGAACTAGTTCTTTACGTAATCGATTGATGCGTATTTCAGGGCGATAATTGACAAGCTGGGCATACACAGCTTCTCCATGCACGAGGTGGACAAGTACGGCGTGGCAGCAGTTGTTGACAGGGCGTTGAAGGCGATGGACCCAAGGTGAGTGGCATCCCTTATGTGAGAGTGTTTTACGCTGCTTTTAGCAATATTCCAGCAATATCACGGCGGGGGACACCAGAAATGGGTTTCAAACATTGTACCCATGTAGGGAATCGAACCCGGATCTTAGGCGTGACGAGCGGACGCTTTAACCACTAGGCTACCCCTTGTGTAGATTTCATGCCTACGTTTTGTTTGTTTGTTGTTTAACGCCACACTCAGCAATATTGCAGCACAAAAGACGTCGGTCTGTAAATAATCAAATAATCTGCTGATAATCTGGACCAGACAATCTAGTGGTCAACATGCCTAGGTACCAAACAGCTAAGAATGTCCGAATTTGTTTTGGGATGTTTCCCATCTCCCGCTCTGGTACTTTCATTCCGACGTGGGGAGGTGGGGTAGCCTACTGGTTAAAGCGTTCGCTCGTCACGCCGAAGATCCGGGTTCGATTCCCCACATGGGTACAATGTGTGAAGCCCATTTCTGGTGTCCACAGCTGGAATATTGCTGAGTGCGGCATAAAACTACACTCATTCCGACGTGAAATAATATAAAGCTTTCTTCACCTCAGTCTTCACCCGACGCTGTGTAAATGTGTCCTTATTTCATAAAATATACTTCCTTTGCACACACGTTTATCCGTTTACATTTATTTATAAATCCTGCAGCAAAAGGACTGGATCTACACCAAAATAACTTTAAAAATATTACCAGGTGATTTAAATTGTTTATGTATGAATAACGGTTGTTTCAGTGGGATTCGCCCGATCCACGTCAGCTTTGATGTTGACGCCATTGACCCCAGCATAATCCCCTCCACTGGGACACCAGGTAGGTCGCCAGTCGCATCCATGGTGTTTGTATTTCAGTATGATGCGTATCTTGCGGATATTGACAGTTTTAGTATTTTCCTTATCCTGACTCATGCTTATTTGCTTTCTCATCCTCTCTTCCGAACGGTCAAGTGGAAACTTGAATCCCTTCAATTCCCTTGAAGCGAACGTACTATCACTCACCCTGAGTTACCTCCCTTCTTCCCGCCAAACCGGCACGTGACCTCGCCATGCCTTGGTCCTCACTCTCTCCTTTATCGCCCAAGCGGACGGTTGGGCGGTCACTTCAGGGTCCCTTCGCGGCTAATAACTTCAAATATTTGGATATATAGCACAAATTCTTCCGTGAATGTTTTTATTAATATGTGGTTTATCATGAGAAGAAAATAAAAGATCATAGCATAGTACTCGACGTACTTCCTGTGAAGAATTGGTCTTCAATAACCCATGCCTGTCGTAAGAGGCGACTAACGGAATCGGGTGGTCAGGTTTCTGACTTGGTTGACACATGTCATCGTATCCCAATTGCGTAGAACGATGCTCACGATGTTGATCACTGGATTGTCTGGTCAAGACTCGATTATTTAAAGACCGACGCCATATAGCTGGAATATTGCTGAGTGCGGCGTTGGGGCGACAAACCGACCAACCATGTACTTCCCATGTACTTATTCTGAGTGAGTGAGTGAGTGAGGGATTAACGCGCTTGCTATTCTCCACTATAACATTATGTTACAGTGCCAGGCGGTCTGTCTTTGAGGGAGGCGTACTACATAGCGGAGGAGGTCGCGGCGACAGGTGAGACAGCATCATTTGAACAAAATACACCCCTTGTTCAGTTTCCAAGAGATTACTGCTGGAAATTTCATTTGAAATGTAACTCGTACGTTAATACAAAACATCTTTGCTATTCCTGACACTTGCTAATCCGAACATGGTCATGTGAGCAACACAAACTATATACACGTCACAATACCCTATGACATAATTTGCGAAACATGCACAAACCCAATCCTTTGTGACGTCAGACGGTTGCTTGGACTTTCCAGATTTATGGTTTCTCTGTATTAAGCTGACGTGTTAGTTGCAGTTTGTTCTTCGTTTTATACTTCTGTAATATCCCACACAGCGCATTTGGGATTACACACACGTGTTATTTTTGGGATTACACTCACGTGTTACACATGTTGTATTTGGGATTACACTCACGTGTTATTTTTGGGATTACACTCACGTGTTACACATGTTGTATTTGGGATTACACTCACGTGTTATGTTTTTTGGGATTACACTCACGTGTTACACGTGTTATTTTTGGGATTACACTCACGTGTTACACATGTTGTATTTGGGATTCACGTGTTACACTCACGTGTTACACGTGTTATTTTTGGGATTACACTCACGTGTTACACATGTTGTATTTGGGATTACACTCACGTGTTATTTTTGGGATTACACTCACGTGTTACACGTGTTATTTTTGGGATTACACTCACGTGTTACACATGTTGTATTTGGGGTTACACTCACGTGTTACACATGTTGTATTGGGATTACACTCACGTGTTACACGTGTTTTTTTGGGATTACACTTACGTGTTGCAGGTCGTCTTAGTGTGCTGGACTGTGTTGAAGTCAACTCGTTGCTTGGAAGCAAGGAAGATCAGCAACGAACGGTGAAGAATACTGTTGAAGTCATGTCCCGTTTCTATGGCAACAAGAGATGTGGCAACGTTCCTCGTGGATACATCCTGCCAGAGCCATGATGGACTTGTGAAACCTTGGCCAACGTCATTATATACAAAATGCCATATACACATGTCATTCAAGAACATATAGCCACGACAGACACTTCACTCGAGGAATAATGTCAATTATTTCCACCATTGACAGGTTCTCATCTCTTTGGTTCCCCTTCAGTGATGCTTCAACAGAATTCAACAGTTTGTAGTTATTGAGATGAATGCTTCGTCCCACGGGTGTTGTTGAAAGGAGGCACCTCTCTCGTATCCTTGTATTAACCAGCTTCAGAACTGTGATGGTTCTTGGACGGATAGTCTACATATGACGTACATTCGTCACCTCTCGGCCCTTTCCGTAATCTCGCTATTCAGCTTGTCCCGGAATAACACGAAGTGGTCACGAATGGACGCGGAGGTTGAGCGATAATATTATGTCGGATGAGTAACATCAAGGCTGAATCAGAATGAAAGTAGTGGAATATACGCAACACCCACAGTTTGTTTACCATCTTGAGATGAGCAAATAGGAATGAAAGAAGTATTGAACCTTGTTCCTTGTTAATCAGCATTCGCCATAATTATATATATATAACCGTTGATCTTGACCCGTGAATCCCTCAAGCGCACACACGTTTACCTAATTCGTGTACCGATCATTTACTTACTTAGTACCTCATCAGATGATCTCGGATTGATATTATTTAATTTGGCATTGTTATTTATTTATTATTCTGAAAGTATAAAATGTTATGCATGTGTTTTAAATATTTTTGCATCTTGATTATTATGTGTTTTGTTACAATCAGATTGTCTTTTCAATCCCGAATTGCGGGATACAAGCAATGCCCATAGATCGGTGTTACAACCCGAGATGATCAACCTACACGGTACATATCAGGGCCTTATATCTGACGTAGGATATACACTGGAAATATGTACATATTGTTTGTGTTTTAATTTTGTTCTAATTAAAACCAACTGGATATAATTTTATTTCAATAAAACATCCTTTGAATTTTTATTTTGTATTATTCTTTTATGGAGTGTACACACGGCATGGTGGTTGATCCACTGGCGTACTAATGGACAGTACCCAGGCATGTTGATACACCTGTGTACTCAGTACACATGGACAGTACCCAGGGCCCGTTGATACACCTGTGTACTCAGTACATGTGGACAGTAACCAGGCACGTTGATACACCTGTGTACTCAGTACATGTGGACAGTAACCAGGCACGTTGATACACCGGTGTACTCAGTACACATGGACAGTAACCAGGCATGTTGGTACACCTGTGTACTCAGTACATGTGGACAGAACCCAGCCACATTGATACACTGGTGTACTCAGTACACATGGACAGTACCCAGGCACGTTGATACACCTGTGTATTCAGTACACATGGACAGTAACCAGGCATGTTGGTACACCTGTGTACTCAGTACACATGGACAGTACCCAGGCACGTTGATACACCGGTGTACTCAGTACACATGGACAGTTCCCAGGTACGTTGATACACCGGTGTACTCAGTACATATGGACAGTACCCAGGGCCCGTTGATACACCGGTGTACTCAGTACATATGGACAGTACCCAGGGCCCGTTGATACACCGGTGTACTCAGTACACATGGACAGTACCCAGGGCCCGTTGATACACCAGTGTACCCAGTACACATGGACAGTACCCAGGCACGTTGATACACCGGTGTACTCAGTACACATGGACAGTACCCAGGCACGTTGATACACCGGTGTACTCAGTACATATGGACAGTACCCAGGGCCCGTTGATACACCTGTGTACTCAGTACATATGGACAGTACCCAGGGCCCGTTGATACACCTGTGTACTCAGTACACATGGACAGTACCCAGGCACGTTGATACACCTGTGTACTCAGTACATATGGACAGTACCCAGGGCCCGTTGATACACCTGTGTACTCAGTACATATGGACAGTACCCAGGGCCCGTTGGTACACCTGTGTACTCAGTACATATGGACAGTACCCAGGGCCCGTTGATACACCTGTGTACTCAGTACATATGGACAGTACCCAGGTACGTTGATACACCAGTGTACCCAGTACACATGGACAGTACCCAGCCACATTGATACACCGGTGTACTCAGTACATATGGACAGTACCCAGGGCCCGTTGGTACACCTGTGTACTCAGTACACATGGACAGTACCCAGGTACGTTGATACACCAGTGTACCCAGTACACATGGACAGTACCCAGCCACATTGATACACCGGTGTACTCAGTACACATGGACAGTACCCAGGCACGTTGATACACCTGTGTACTCAGTACATATGGACAGTACCCAGCCACATTGATACACCGGTGTACTCAGTACACATGGACAGTACCCAGGTACGTTGATACACCAGTGTACCCAGTACACATGGACAGTACCCAGGCATGTTGGATACACCTGTGTACTCAGTACACATGGACAGTACCCAGGTACGTTGATGCACCAGTGTACCCAGTACACATGGACAGTACCCAGGCATGTTGGTACACCTGTGTACTCAGTACACATGGACAGTTCCCTGGGCCCGTTGATACACCGGTGTACTCAGTACAAATGGACAGTACCCAAGACATTCTGAACCGGGGGCATTCCAAAAAAACCCAGTGAATCCAATACAATTTTTTAAAAAGAAAAACACATTTCAAATATAGCGTAAATAAGACACCGTGTTAATTACACAGTTGTGTGCGCTATTAGATGCCGGCTTAGACGGCGTCCAGATGGCGTCAAGAGAGTGGAAGTAACGTTACTTTTAACTTGATAACGGCGTAAACGTCGTTCTATGCAATAAACAAGAAGTTGTTATCCATAAAGTCGTATGCTTCATGTAAGACTCGCCAACTTCTGGAATGCCGTTCAAACAATCAACATCTGTTACGCTATAATTTAGGATCTATCAATACATGAAAACAAACATTGTCGGGTAAAATTTAGGTTTTAATTCAGAAACTACTGCAACGTTTCGGTGGGTCTCTCAATATGCACTGTCTATTTGAAGACCTTGTTATTCTTCTTCACAAACACTCTGTATGAGAGATTGTCCACCATCCGCCCAGTACGCTTCTTCTGCTGGAAGTACATGTATTTGGGGTCCTTCTGGGTCCGGAAGTGGTTCGTGCCGGCAGCCTCGATGTCCAACAGCTGTCGGATCTTCTTGGTGATGCACTGGAGCAACCAAATCAGGGTGTCTATAGGATCATAGTGCATTGTGTTCTCATGTATAATAAACCAGGCTAGCTCTTCTCAAAACGTTCGTAGCCCTTCTTTAGCCCATTCTTAACACATTGGCTACGATCAAAGTTAATAATTACTAGCCAGGTTATTACTTCTTTTCATAGTATATACAGTGCCAGCTGACTACACGTGTTTAAAAGTACTCGCAATGACGTCATAGCGTCTTTAGGACCATAGTGTATGATGTTCTCATAGTATTATAACCTGTATCTTTAAATAGTACATATATACAAGGCCAACTGACTATACGTGTATATCATCATTTATTGAAATGTTCAGTGTTATGTTGGTCGTTAATTGTCATTATTTTTTTTCTGCATTTTCACAATTAACGGAACTCATATCGATTTGTCAAACTACCAGCTTTAAAATAGATAAAAATATCAAATAAATTAATTTAACAGAACTGCGGCACATTTAAATGAAGCTTTACTTTATTTATGTTCTGATATCATCTCAATAAAGACAATCAAGGTTGAAAGTAAAATATTGGTCGTTCTAAATTAAGACAGTTCTTACATAAAACAGACTCGGAACTTCCGTCGATTACTCGAGAAAATATAGTCATCGGAGGCGATAATTCGATGATATATGATATCTTCTCCAAAGTAGATTATAGTGACATATACGTAGATTTAAAAAATCCTCTCAGTAGATAAATGTTTCTTCTACGTACATGAAAGTATCAACAAGGTAGATGGAAGTATAATCTGCGTATATATAGATGAAAGTATCTTTATTTTTGTGTGTTTGATTCTTGTTTAACGCCGCACTCAGCGATATTCACACTGTATGGCGAACTGTAAATATTCTGGGCCAGACAATCCAGTGATCAACAGCATGAACATCGATCTACACAACTGCAATACGATGACATGTGTCAACCAAGTCAGCGAGCCTGACCACCCGATCCCGTTAGTCGCCTCTGACGACAAGCATGGGTTGCTGAAGGCCAATTCTAACCCGGATCTTCGCGGGTCTGAAAGTATTTTTACGTGGATGTAGTTTTCTTCTACGTTGATGACATTGTGTGTAGACATTAGCAATATTCCATAAAACACTGACCAAGATGTCATCAAACTTCAGTACTCCCATTCTAGGCAGCGAGGAGGCGTGGACACAGATCAGCTTACGGCCGTTGATGAAATTGCGGCGGAAACATTCCTGAAATATGTTGAAAACGAACATAAAGTTACATAATACACGCACTAACGGACCGAGGTAGTTGTTAAAATAAAAACATTATCACTGACTGAGAATTACATAGCTATAAGCTTTTACCAGTTCGCTGAGCTGACTTTTACGGTTGGTTAGAATTAATTCCTAACTGGAATTCAGACGGTCGGTATTAAGAAGATAAAGAAACAATACTACGCCTGTTTTGTATCCAGGGGGCGGTGGGGGAGCCTAGTGGTCACGCCGAAGACCCGGGTTTGATTCCCCACATGGGCACAATGTGTAAAGCCCATTTCTGGTGTCCCCCGGCGTGATATTGCTGGAATATTGCTAAAAGCGGCGTAAAGCAATACCCACTCACTCTGTAGACAGCTAAAATATCTACACAACGACATGGAAGCTCACAATTTTACGACAGGAAAGAAGATGAGCTATTAAGTCTTGTACAATAACAAGAGTATTTATTTGGACGTTAGGTATAAGGTGTATAATGTATAGATGCGCATGTGTTTACCTTGTACAGAGGGAAGCCTATCTCTCCCACCCAGTCAGCCACTGTATCCACGTCCCAGTACAAACACGGAGCAACGTTTGCCTTCCTGTCAGACTCTATAACTTTGTAATTGTTGTACGACCTGTACATCTCGCCCACTTGCACGCACGAAATGTAGCTGATTGTGACGTCATCAAACACAATGACGTCACATTTGTAATAGAATTCTAATCTTATGCTTAGCCGACGTATTTCGTGTTTGTTTGGTTTTGGGTTTTTTAAAATTAATTATTTATTCCATTATGTTTTGCTTTTATTGCGATTTTATTTATATTATTTATTCTTCCTTTATAGGGGGCGGTGGGGTAGCCTAGTGGTTAAAGCGTTCGCTCGTCACGCCGAAGACCCGGGTTCGATTCCCCACATGGGCACAATGTGTTAAGCCCATTTCTGGTGTCCCCCACCGTGATATTGCTGGAATATTGCTAAAAGCGGCGTAAAACTAAACTCAGTCAGTCAGTCTTCCTTTATAGACTTACTTATCAACTTCTCCTTCCCTATTTGTAGTAATTGACTGTCATTCGTGAAGTATATCACTTAGAAATATAGACATGAAATGTAAAAACGTTTTCAACTAATATTGAAAGAAATTATTTTATGTTACTTTCAGGCTCAACAGTCGTGGAATCGTCATCATTCTCAAGATTTCGTTACATTCAATCAATGACGTGTAAGGATCTCAATGCAGCCCTGAGATATGCACATAGTAACCATACCAAGTCGAAATCCCAGATAACAAATTGTAAATCTCATTATCAAATGAAATCATTTAAAGCGTTATAATAGGACAACGTGCGTGAGTTGAAATTAAGTGTTGCGTCAGTAATCTTTCGTAGCGACCAGCTTTAAACTTACCTGACGAAATTCTTCAAGAACACTAAATTTTTCTTAAAATCAATTGAAGTGAACAGAAACAAATCAAGTGCAAGATCTAAATTGTTCAGCGTCGATCCCGAAATCGCACAAGCAGCAAACAAATATTAGTTGAAAACGATCGTATTTGGAGTGGTGTCCCTTATCTGTCGTCCCGCCCCCTCATGAATATTCGGTTTGGGTCGTTTACAATCTTACACGTCAAGTAATAGCAATGATATCAAATAAATGTGCCCTACACTATATTATCTTCTTTTCTAAAATAGTTTCATTTTATGTAATTGAAATGCATACGCGACATCTGATTATGTTATAAAATTGTACATGTTAAATACTCGCCTTTTTCCGGAATCTAATTTTAGCTTTCGCGGGAAAATTCTCGCGCCAAATTCAGCACGTGAACACAACAAAGCGCAGTGGCTGATCAGCTTGTTGACAGAACATACGATCATGGCAGGGTTTGATGATGCTGGAATATTTTACAGTGATAACTTCGGTTCAGAAGATCAACCAGACGAAGGCCAGGTCAACAGGACGCAAGTGAAGAAGCGATTTAAGGACTTTATCAGACAGTTTCACGAAGGCAACTTCTCCTATCGTTACCGGTAAGGTGGCATTGAGAAAACTGACCTGTTGAATACATTTATCGTCATCTCATATATGTTTGTTGGTCGATCTTAGATTTGATCATCGAACTCATTAATTAAGCTTGGTCCCGTGTGGTTGTAAATTCCAACACCAACGTCACAGAAATTGACGATGTGTTGCATGTCCAATTTAACTGTTAATGGAAGATCATATTTTGATGTCAGTGTTATGATGAACTCTGCCAGGATATTTGTACTGTAGAACGCATCACTCAGTTCTAGCAACAAGATTGATAATAGTCTTTTGTAAACCATTCAAAGCCAGAAGTGTTATAATGTGCACATATCCAAAACTAATTATGGAATCATGTCCTCAGACTTCACCACTTAAAAAACAAAACATTCGGTAAGAGTTCCTCCCGTTGCCCCATCCCAAATAATATTTATAAATTGATATATATACTAAAATTATTAACAAAACCTAACACAGCAATTACTACTACTAGAGAACTCACAAATATAACTAAGCCCAAAATTAATTGCAATGTTGTTTTAGGGCATTATCATGTGTAATGATTATTACTATATTATTTTCAGAGACCAGTTGAAGAGACACTACAACTTGAAGCATTACTGGCTGGATATTGACCTAGATGATGTCCGTAGTTTTGACGAGAGTCTTGGTGATAAACTTCTCAAGCAACCTACTGAACATCTGCCATTGGTAAATATAAGAATATTTGTCATATTATCAAGTATGTTTTGCATTGCATATACTGAATATTGATAATTGTACAATAATGCTCAAGAGCTGATATTCAGTCCATGGCTCGATCCAGACGTTTTCAACACGCTGTCAGCGTATTTTGGAAGACGTATTGAGATATTCCTGATTTTCATTTACAGTTTGAGGATGCTGCCAAAGAGGTTGCGGATGAGGTTACTCGACCTCGACCTGAAGGAGAGGAGGAGGTCGAGGATATTCAAGTTATGCTGACTTCATCTGCCAATGCATGTTCAGTCCGAGAACTCAAGGTAGGTATTCCTGCAGTGTTGCTGGGATTATATTTAGGTTTGGTTGCATGAAGGGATGTAAAGAGTAAATGTTATGTTGTGGGAATTAAAAAAATGAAAATATATATTTAGGATTAAATGTTACATGCAGCAGTGTTGAGATCCTTTTGCGTGTAGCATCTCTGTTTTGTTTATTACGAGTAGTCACGGAGCACTTACATGTTTTCAGTCTGAGCAAGTGTCGTCACTGGTGAAGATTCCTGGGATTGTTATTGCTGCCTCCACTATCAGGGCTAAGGCAACGCGTCTGGCAATACAATGTCGTGGTTGCAGCAATGTCATGAACAACATTGCAGTTAAACCCGGCCTAGAGGGATATGCTCTGCCAAGGAAGTGCAACACGTAAGTCTGGTGTTCCACATTTGCATTAGTCAACAAGACTACTAACTTCAGCAGAAGACAGGTAAAAGTCCAATGACAAGAGTCTTCATTAAGTAATAGCATTAGCAGGCTTTAAATTTTGAACCTGTTCTCAATGCTTCAATTTTGCTGCAATATGAAACTGAATATAAATGACAGAAATTTAACAACTACATGTGATTTTCTCTTTGAATACACAAATTATGGAGGTTGTAAGTTGCCCTTCAAAGATTGTTTCCGAGGTGGTCACCATGCCCATGTTATTTTTTGGTTTCTACTATTTCAATTATCCAAACACATTTACAATGGAGATGAAAACTTTTTTTTCAGAAATAGTGTTTTGATGTATTTCCCATATAACATCTCGCCCATTTGGAAGGGTTAAACTATGTCTGGTTATTATGAAATGAAAGGTTCATGAAGGAGTACATGTATTCTTATAAGTAGTCATGTAAATTATCTCCCTTGGATAGTTGTTACAACTTATACAAGGCTGAGTATACAACTGATCAGCTTTCTAGAGGTGTTCTTGGGTGGTATTTGAGCCTGGGAACACACAGAATCTTTATTTGTAACAATGGTGCCGTAAAACAAAAAAACTTTCTCACCATGAATAGCTGCAAAATGGCTGATGTGGCATTGAACCATCTTCATTCACTCACTCAATGTAACACTTGGGAACCCAAGACTTAGGAGACGATGACTTCTTTCAGTGACCAGGCAGGCCGACCCAAGTGTCCAATCGATCCATTCTTCATCATCCCTGACAAGTGCCAGTGTGTGGACTTCCAGGTGTTGAAGCTGCAGGAGACGCCAGAAGCTGTACCTAATGGTGAAATGCCACGTCACCTGCAGCTGTACTGTGACAGGTGAGCAGAGACAAGGTTACCAACTGGGTGTGCCTGTAATATAGGAGGGTTTCTGTTACAAGGCTTGAGTGCTGAAACATTGATAGGGATGAGCTTATTTAATGACAATGTTAAATCCAAAAGATGATTGGGGTAGCCAAGTGGATAAAGTATTCGCTCGTCACGCCGAGACCCAGGTTTGGTTCCCCATATGGGTACAGTGTGTGAAGCCCATTTCTGGTGTCCACCGTCCATATTATTGCTTGAATATTGCTAAAATTGGTGTAAAATTAAACTGGTTCATCCAAAAGATGAGTGGAAACTGTTTCTACTGCACCGTGAACACTGTTACCTCAACTGTTAGCTTGTTGGTTAGGACTACACTGTCTGCCAATTGTTGGAACATTTGGGAGGAATCAAAACTTCATGCACAAACTTCAAAGCCAAGGTATTTGTATTCAATAGGTGAATTGCCTCCCTTGTTATCAAACGTGATATGTTAGTTATGTGATTTATGTTTCAGATATCTCTGTGATCGTATTGTCCCTGGCAACAGAGTTACAGTCATGGGAGTCTACTCCATCAAGAAGAGTTTCAAACCAGCTAAGGTAGGAAGTCATTACCTGATGAATAAGATGCAGAAATACTTCCCAAACATAATGTGTGTCTGCATTCACAGGTTGCTGTATTGAAACATGCTTGTGTCAGATTATGTGGACAAATCTGGTGCAGATTATTTACAGTTGCTGCGAGTGTTGTAAATGAAATCTCATCAATTAGTTGATAAGAAATACAGTTCATTCACATCTGTAGTTGAATCACAGTTGCACAGATCACTGTCATTCACAGAATTGTCTGCTTCAGATTGTATCACTCGCAGAATGCAGTCTCAAAACTGTAACATTAATTAAGCAACAATCAATCAAAAGCTAGGGTAATGCACACTCATTGAAAAGCTTAACTTGTGAGAAATATCTCTGTTACTCCGTTATATTTTCATCAAAAGAGACCTATTAAGACCTGGGTTAGAATTGTTCTTCAGCCCATGGTTGTCACAAGAGGCAAATAATGAGTGGTCAATTAGGCATTCAGCACGAACCAAAAATCCATCTGAACTTCAGTCAAGTGTTTCTGTGTCAATACCATGTTGGTTGGTTGGTTTGTTGTTTAATGCCGCACTCTGTCATCAACAATGTATGGTGGCGGTCTGTAAATAATTCTGGAGTCTGGACCAGCCAATCCAGTGATCAACCGTATGAACATTGATCTCCATTATTGTTATGTGATCTGTCAACCAAGTCAGCGAGCCCGACCATCTGATCACTTTAGGCACCTTTTATAACAAGCATGGGTTGCTGAAGACCAGTTCTAACCTGGGTCT